GGAAACCCAAGGAGGGGTCGCTATGAGTCGGGGCCGACTCGACGGCACATAACAACAACAACAACAAGTGGTGCAGTGGTTAAAGCATATGGCTGCTAACTGAAAGATTGACAGTTCAAACCCACCAGCACTCTCTGGGAAAAACATGAGGCAGTCTGCTTCTGTAAAGATGTACAGCCTTGGAAACGCTATGTGGCAATTCCATCCTGTCTACAAGGTTGCTGTGAATCAGAATCAACTCAAAAGCAGTGTGGTTAGCTGGAGATAAGGCTGCTACCTTTGTCTCTGAGTTGCAAAGGCCAATATAAGAAAAGAGATTTCTCCAACAAATGTGACATTCATTGCCTCCCTCTATCAATGCTCTGTCCCTAACTTGTACAAACCCTTGGATCACTATATGCTGTAGAAAAAAATTATAATAAATTCAAAGGATTCTCTTCCTTTTTCACTAAGGATTAAAAAGTGAAGACTGACTCACACAATTTGGCAATGTATCCTGAGAATTGATGTCTATGTCACTTAGACATTTGTGACATTTACTTATTTATATTTTAGCAATGACTTGTTCCCACCACCCCCTGCTCCCAGGCTGAGTACTTTATTTTTAACCCTTCCCCTCATCCAAGTTAATATGTGACTGCCCTCTCATTAGTGGTTTATCCTCCCTTCTCCACCTCACCTGATAACCATTAAAGAGTATTTCTTTTTTTGTGTGAAACCCTTTTCTTGACATTTTATAATAGTGGTTTCATATAGTATTTGTCCTTTTTTGATTCACTAATATCACTCAGCGTAATGGCCTCTAGGTTCATCCATGCTATGAGATGTTTCACAAACTTATTCATTGTTCTTCAATGTTGCATAGTGTTCCATTGTGTATGTACCATAGTTTATCAATCCATTCCTCCATTGATGGGCATTTAAGTTGTTTCCATCTTTTTGCTACTGTGAATAGTGCTACAATGACCATAGATTTACATATATTTGTTCATGTCATGACTCTTATTTCTCTAGGATATATACCTAGTAGTGAGACTGCTCACTACAGGACACTACATGGTTTAAAATCAAGAAGGGAGTGTGTCAGAGTTGTATTCTGTCTCCACACTTATTCAATCTATATGCTGAGCAAATAATCC